CTCAGTCTTCCTGCCTCATCGAGTCAAGTGCAGCATGTTCTGGGAGAACAGCGTGCTTGTCGTTCTGAGCTGGCAGGTGGTTCTGCCTGTGCCTGTAGCTGTTACACTGGGTCAAAAGTTAGGAGCTCAGATCTTATTGGACAAACGTGAACAAGTCTCTCCAACTTATCTGCACTTCAAAAAATGGAGTCAGAACAAAATTTGAAAGGGGCAATTCCATTATCTCTGTCGCCTTAGTGTCAAGTAGACACGAGGGCTTTCCCAGGAGATACGTGGGGGTCTGCAAGGAGGCTGCAGGAGCAGCTAAGGGAGTGAGGCTGGAGAGACCACAGTAGGTCAGCAGTGGTCTGGCCCACATTGGGAAAGACTGGCTGCCCCCAGAACCAATTCTTCACTGACGTGTCAAATGATGACTAAAATTAGAGCTCAGTGATCCAAATAGGTGATCTGGTGATATCTTAGAATTTCTGACATTGATAGAGAATAATATATTTGGGAGATCTATATCAATCTTGATGCTCGTAACATCATGAACTGCCTTTACTGCTATAACCAGAATAAAAGGTAGAATTCTGAGTCTTCTTCTGACCCTGTAGACAAGTTAGTTAACCCTTCCAGACCACAAAACAGGACTAATTCCATTCTGATTTCTAAGAGAGGATTATGAGAGAAACTAGAACTAATACCAGCCTGCTTTTGGGCTGGAGCTCAGCACCCCGTGGTCATGGTACTGCAGGCCAGATACTTGAGCACATTATTTGACTTTACATGTTTCTATCCTATTTTAAACTCACAGACTGATAGTCTCTCTTTTACACTTCCTGTCTATCCCTACATCCTTTCTTCTTCTTCACTCAGTCATTTTAAATCTATCTCTAGTTTTCACTTGGAGACTTGGATATGCACTCCTTTGCGGGGGGCGGGTGGGGGGCAGGGTCAACAGTTGATATGGTTAACACATTTTTTTGTTAAGTGCAGAATCAAGTCCTGACTCCTAAGAGTTCTGTAGAAGGTAAAACAGTAACATTTTGCTAGGTCTGCTGTAATTAGTTTTCCATACATCTTTGGTATTGTTCTTGGTGACCAATGGAAATAACGAGCTAGCCTGGAGACAGTCTAATCTCTCAAAAAATACTTCAAATCTCCTTCTGGGCTGGAACAGGAAATACTTTTATAGGGTAAATAGTAAACATATGGAATCTTTTAGCCCCAAGAAGTTAGGCAGGCTGAAAACTTAAATAGCTTCAAGAAGGTTTAGGTATTATTCATGGATAAAAAGAAGACATAACAATTTTGGCAAAAATTAAGAAGTTTGACAATACGAGTGTTGATGAGGATGTGGAGCAAAGGAAATGGTATGCACTACTGGTAGGAGTGTAGTTTTGTTCAATAACTTTGGAAAAGAAGTTGATATTATGTTGTAAAGCTAACAGCCACATATGACCAGTTGCATTCCTTGTATATACCCTAGAGAAACCTTCCCAGATGTGTTTCAGAAGGCATATACAAAAATGTTCAGAGAGGCAATTTCATAATAGCAAAAAAAGTGGAAACAACCTAAATAGCCACCAAAAGGAAAGACATGAATAAATTGTAGTATATTCACAAAACGGAAACAGCACTGAATATGAATGAACTTCTCTACCTGCAGAAATATGGATGAATCTTGGAAACATGTTGATGAAAAAAAGCAATTCACAGAAGAATTACATATGATAAGAAACAATTTTTACATCTCAAAAATATACAAAACTATGTGATAGAACTAATTTAAAAAGCAAAGGAGTGATTAATACAAAAATTAGAACCTCGGTTTCTTGTGGGGGCAGATAAGGCAGAGGGTAGGCTTGGGAAGGAAATAGAAGTAGCTTCCACAGTCTTGGGTAATGATTTAATTCTTAAATTGGATGGGGTTTACTAGTGTTTATTTAATTGATGCCTCATAACTTACATGTACATTACATATATCCTTTTGATACATAATGACCCTTGAATGGAAAATGCAAATGTTTACTTCCCTAATCTTCCAAATAGACTTGATGGAAAACAACTCACATGCTTTTCCTGAAAATGTAATTTAGTACCAATAATCAGATGAAAATCTGGGAGAGGTGGACCACTGGTCTGATCAAGGATGTCTTTTTTTAAGGGAAAAAAATTAAATTTTCTAATTCCAAAGAAATAAATGTGAAAAAGCAGAAAAATACAAAGAAGAAACAATTTTAGGTCACCTGCAGTTCCATAATCTAGGTATAACCGTTGTTAACATTTTGTTGTATTTTCCACCAGTTTTTTAAATATATAAAATCGGAATGAATGCAGCATTTAAAAATGTATTTTCCTGTTTAGATTTGAAATATTGTTTCCCTGAAGACAGCAATGATGCTATGTGTACATGGTGTGTAGTATATGGTGTGTATAGTACATGGTGTGTATAGTCTAATGTTCAGATTCAAGTTCTATTATATAAGTTGTCTATATAAATGATAACTTAAATTTGAGCATATCTTTCACTGAAAAAGTTAAGAAATTAGAGAAGGACAATCGTTTGTCACAGTTGCTGAATCTCTTCCATAGTAATTTTTTTGCTTCTAAATCAATTACAGAAATTTGTATGATGAGATGGAAGGAATCTTTCTTTTGATCATCTGCTTTCTTGAACTCCGATCTCAACACAAGAATATATTTTTCTGAAAGATTTTTAAAAGGGTTTTATATTATTTCTGAATTTTTGAAAGTGTGGAAAAATTTCTCTTGATAATTCATAATTTTAAAGGCAATTTCCCCATTCCTCATCATATTTACAAAAGATAAATAGCATAGTGTCTAAATTTTCTCTCCAATGTATATTTTTTTTAAAGTTTATTCCTTTAAGACTACCTCAACCTACCGTCAACTCAAGTGTTGAGATAACACACAGGATCAGAGTTAGAAGATATTTTAATGCATCTTTACAGGTATAAGGTAAAAGAAGACCTGAACATTTAGAATTGATTTTAATGATTAAATTGCAAACTCTTGTGAAAGCTGAAATACTCTTTGTGTCTCTCCCATGCTGGATTCCTAAGTGTGGTCCTGATTCAGGAGGCCTACAGCGGGCCGGGACATTTCTTCAGGCGATTCTGAGGTCCAGCCGGGCAAGAGAACTACTGCTCTAAGCTTGAGGACATTAACCACCAGGTTCATATTTAAAAAACAAATCTTTTCTTTTAAAACCAGCCCGGTGTTAGCCTGGGGAGGCACATCAACATTCCACTCCTATTTGTGAATTTCTGAGAGAGACTGACAGCTCCCGTGATCCCCCTTTGACCCGGCTCAGAGTAATTCATTAAGTGATGAGTTACTCACACCCTTATCCCCATCCAAACACCCACCAGTTCTCTTGGAGAAATGGCAGCACATAATTTTTCTCACTTAAAAAACTACAAAATGCTTCAAGAGCCCATTGCTTCCAGGAAGTCCACAGTGAACATAAAGGAAATTCAGGCTAAAGAAAATTGGCAAACAGCCCTAAAGAATGATCCATCTGCTTTCTTTGCTTTTGGCCAGCTCACCATGGGACTCTCTTTATGAGGAGTATCTGCCACTGATGACCCTTTTTTCTTGGTTTGATATTAGTGGCATTACAGAGTTCAGAATGGCTGGGAGTGGGAGGAGAAGATGGTAACTGTGAGCCCAAAGCAATTTCTGCAGGTTATCAGTCTGTAGCACTCTCATGAGCTAGTTCATATAGGTAGGTACTTTTAAAATAAATGATTATAGGATTGGGGAAGCAAGGTAAAGCTGTCAGATTGGCACAACTATCTATTGAGGCATTGGACGTAATTTAGTAAAAAGCCAGCGGGTTTCATTTAAGCCCTAGAAAAGATTTACATATCATCTTCCCCCAACCACAAAAGAAAACACCACCACAGGACAAATCACTCTTTGAATGTTTCATAAGATATTAATAAGCACAGCAACAACAGAACTTGTGCTAAGATCAAAGTTTCAGAAGCTTTAAAATATTTTTAGTTCTTTTCATCTGAAATTGTTTAGACTACCTTCAGAGAAACTTTTCAACAGTTTCCTTACTGGAAAGAGTTGAGAAGTTTTATAAGCCTAAGGTTACTAGGGTGATTTGGTTTATAAGTTTCCTTTAAAAGAAAGAGAGAGAGAGGGAGGGAAGAAACCAAGCAGCAGCAGCAAACACTTGTCAACCAGAGGGCTGAAATAAGAGACCAGTGTTGTAGAGAATTAACAGTAGATCTGACTCTAAAGGTTAAACCTTGCATCGTCATTTCTAGAAATCAAGTCTGTGTGTTTGGCGTACCTAGGAGAAGTAAGTGCTTTCAAATGGTCCTCCCACAAGTCTCCTTAGCAGCCAACCGAGTCCCACGGCCCTCAGCCAACAAACCCAACAAGTACTGTAAGTCAACTGGGATCTACTCATGAAACCTCATACGATGTCCTGTAACAGGAAGCCACAAAAATATGAGAAAATGCACCTGATTAAACGTAAGAACATCTGTCGCCCTGGACTTATATAATGGCCATTAAATAACAAAAAGAGGGAAAGAAGTCCATGCAGAACAGTCCTTGAGTCTGAGTCCAGTTTAGAAATCTGTTCCTTTGACTATTTCTGAAGGGCTGAAGATTCTACAAAGAAGCAGCAAAAATTTTCATGGAAGAGCCAGCGGAACTGTGTCAGTGGAATTAATGGAACCTTTCCAGGGCAAGAAAGAAAACCAGAGACAGCAGTTTCCCCTCTCCTATGTTCTTTTAGGCAAAAGGAGCAGACGTGGGTGGTTCCGGTGGGCAGCTTTGGCTGGAACTGTTATCCTACGAGGACAGTCCATGCCCATTGAAAATGGTAACAAGCCCCTGCCTGCATTTACACTGTTGCGCTCCTGAGTTCTTCTGCCAAAGAAAAGACAGAATACCCTGCTGAGAAGGGTCTAGCAGAGCATGGGACTCAAACTGAAGCTAAGGCTTCCCATTCTAGGGTGCTGAGCACTAACCAGGCAACGTTGAGAAAGAAAGTCTTCCTGTGCCTTATTCTCCTGGGCTGCTACAGGAGTCCACCAGAGGAGTTAATCTCCAAGGTTCTTTCCAGCTCCGAAGTTCTGTGTCAAAGAAAGAGGGAGGCGGCTGCCAACAGGAGAGGAGGCGTTTCTGACCTGGCTTGAGCCCATCCTGCCTCAGTTCTGTGACAGGAATCATTGCTACAGATTTTTAGGTGGAAGAGCACAGGGCTCCCTAAAAACACAGGGGGTTTTCACAGTGACCTGACAAGTGGCTTGAGCCCAAGATTCTCTCGCAGTAGAACGGCTTCTTATCCTACCTGAAAGCCCCTTCAAGTGACCTAGAGGGGAGATAAAGACAGTTATTTAGGGAGCATGAAATGCAAGTCACAGTAGAAAAGGCTGTAACTGCTTTGGGCACATTATGCAGGCAGGTCAGCAGAGTGGGGCTCATCCCCAGGCATAAACCACATCAAAACCTATTCAGAATTGTGTTGGGTGATTTTGCAATTGTTTGTTAAGACACAAACCAACGGGACTCCCACACTTGTGCTGGTCTTTTACTGTCAGCAACTCCTGGCCCGTCTGTACCAAATCCACAGCCACAATCCTGAAGACTCTAACTTCTTATACCTCAATATATCTTAAATTGGGGGGAGGGAGAGGAGGGTGCACCTCCGCCAATTGAGCCTACTCAGGAATAGCGAGGACGCAGCAGGAAGTCATGTTGCCCCAAATCTGCTAGAGCAATGTTGGTTCTAAAAGAAGGAAATACAAGAGACCTTGAAGCTGGTAAGGGGCCCATTTTTTCTTGACTTTGCAATAAATTTTAATATAATCACGGGGAAATTCTGAGATTTTAAAAGAGTTGCGGTAGACCCTTCTCAATAGGGTCTTGGAAGTCCTGACCGAGGGGAGCACATGAAGTGGGCTCTCTACCGTACTCTGTGGAACAAAGGCCAGGCTATGCTGGGCAGTGAACAGTGGGGGTTGGCTGGAGGCCTTGGACTCTTGGCTTTACTTAGAAAAAGCAGGGGCGAGGGGCGGGGGGGGGGGGGGGGCGTGCATGAGGAGGTTGCAGATTGCCGAGTGACTCACACAAGCCCTCAGGTGGAAATTTCTCCCGATGCTCAGTTCCCGGCCTTAGGAACTCCAGGAGTAGATCATATGTCTGTGGACCTATCTCCACCTCTGCAAAAGCGAGAGATTAAAGCCCCGCCCTCATTTCCCCAACTTTGAGAAGTAACTTCTGTACTGTGGGTCATTTGTTTGAAAGGGGAGCGAAGGGGGTTTGGCCGTCCCTGGCGAGGGCCCCAAAGCGCTAAACCACTTTAGCGGCAGAACGACGCGTCCGGGTGAGGCGTCCCCGCCGCGGACTCGGTGTACCCCGCACGCGGTCCGTCGAGCCTGTGCCCAGGGCAGCGCCGGCTCGCGGGAGGGAAGCTTTGAAGGTGGTTTTTCGAAATCACCCCGCGCATCACTCTGTCCTTAGAGCCTTGGGGCCGAGAGGGTACGGCGTCATCTTCCTCCCACCAGCCCAGACCAGGGCCCCCGGGGAAAGGTGCTGTAGAAATTCCCAGGCAAGCCCGGAGGCCGAGGACGCGCAGCTCCGATGGGGACCACTGAGGCGCGCCCCGGGAAGGCTCCCGCTGCAGCCTGCAGCCGCCGGGGCTCGCGCGGCCGTGCGACGGCGGGAGGGGACAGCCCCGCGGGCTGAGGGTGCGGGCCGCGCCCCGGATCTCCCGCCTTCCCTGCGTCCCGCCCGCCCGCTCGCGCCGCGCTCACCGCCACCGCCTCTCCCTCCCCTGCAGCCGCGCCGGGACCATGTCGGCGGAGACCGCGAGCGGCCCCACTGAGGATCAGGTGGAGATCCTGGAGTACAATTTCAACAAGGTCAACAAGCACCCGGACCCCACCACGCTGTGCCTCATTGCGGCCGAGGCGGGCCTTTCCGAGGAGGAGACCCAGGTGAGCCCCGGCGCGCGCCCCGCACTCCGACCCCTGCCCGCCCAGGCCGCCGCGCCCACCCTCGCCTGGGCCGTCTCGCGAAAGTGGGGGTCGCCGTCGCCTCCCCCCCTCCCCTGATCTTTCATCGCTTCTGCCCGCACCCCAGGAGCCCCATCCTAGGAGCTCAGACTCTGCATCGCTCCCACCGCCGCATCCCCGCTTCCTGGCTCCATGGTCGCCCCGTCTGTCCTTCCACCCCCAGCCCGCGCTGGCTCCCCCAGGAGCTGCTTAGAAAACCTCGCGTCCACCCTTCCTTCTCCTTGCTTTTCCGCTCTCCCCTACAGCCCGGGATAAACGCGCTCTCCTCCCTCCGGGCTGGGAGCAGCGTCCCTGGCCCACTCTTGTCTCGCTTTCTCGGGTGGTTTCTTCTCTGGGCTGTGAACGAAAGCTTCTGGAGAGGTGCGGTGTGCGCTTTCCGCGCCCAGCGCCCTCCTGTCTGTTCTCGGCGGGAACGTCAGAGCTGGAAGGCACCTTAGCGATGAGCTATAAATTCAGTCCTCAGGGTTGGTGAAGGAGGAAACTGAGGCCCAGAGGGAGGGAGTTGCCAGGATGGCGCGGGTCCTTAGCCATGCTCTTTCCACTACATCGGGCAGCAGCTTTTCCTTAGCCACAGAGCTGACGCTGCAGGGAGCCAGGGAGATGGGGTTCAGAGTTTAAAAACTTCTCCAGCTCTAAGGTTTAGTCTTTTTCTGGATTTTTCCGAGAAGGTAGACATTTGCCATTACAGCTGGCGGGAGTGGAAGCAGATGTCCCCTGCAGTGCATTCATTTATTTATCTGTTTCTTAAGGCTCCTATATTATCCGGAAAATCCTTTAGGGTAGAGAATGCAACCCTGCCCACGATTGCTAACCTCCAGGTGCAGAGTTGGCTCCTTTAACTGACTTTTTGTTTGTTTGTTTAACCCTGTCTAAACTCTGGCTTCTGTTTTCCCTTTGGTCATGGAAAGACAATTAGTGATGCATGATGATACTGCTTGGAACTGCTCTAGTATCTCTCCAGGGGAGCCCAGAGCGCTTCACCCCTCTAGTCTCAGCTCTGAAGCAGAGACATCCTTATTCCTCCCATTTTACAGACCAGAGCAGCAGACTCTCTGTCCTCTCCTCACCGTGAACCATACTCAGTGGAGGCTTAAAAGCTTGTAATGGGTGCTCCAGTGGATCCTAGAACCAAGACCCCACATCCAAAATGATTTTTACTAATTAAGCCAGATGCACGTTGGAGAACCTGCCCATAAAAAAACCCCTCTCATTCATAGGGCAAATAGAAAGTCAAGCAGATCTGTTTTTAGCAAAGGCAACAGCTGTCGGCTCACCAGAACCAGAACTTAATGGAGAGTGATTTACTGTAACCCAAGTCTAACTGCTCATGTTTCCTGGAAGCCCCCGAGGAGGCAGCCTGCTGAAGTTTTATCATTTAAAATCCTACGCTATATTTAGAAAGAGGAGTAATCACAGAGACAACGATAACTCATCTTTTAAACAGAAGGCTGTGGATTTATTGTGGGCACAGCGCCAACTAGGGGTCTAACCTCTTCTCAGCCTCTGAATTCTCCCATGGCCAGTTACCATCATTTCCTTACCTGTAAAGCAGAATAATTGTTGCCCTTTATAATGGCTGATACTTGCCACATATTGTTCCAGGTACCCTCCAAGTATTAAATCACTTGTTTGTCACAATAATGCTGTGAGGGAGGTACTATTATCCCCATTGTACAGATGAGGGAACTGAGGCACAGAAAGGTTGAAAAGCTTGCCCAAGACCACAACCGGAACTAACAGAGGTAGGATTTGAATCCTGGCCATCTGGGTCATGATCCAGGCCCCTAACCAACATGCCTTGTTGCCTCTACAGGAGAAGAATGGAAACAACTGGGTGGGGTGGGAGGGAAGGACCGAAAGTTCTATTTATGTTATTTTTCTTCTTGAAAAAAAAAATCCATGCATTAAATGCAAGTCATTCCAGGCTATATTCAATCTTTCTTCAAGATTCTCCTTCTATAAGAGAACTGAAACAAAATCAGGTGAGGGGCAGGAAGAAAGAAAGGCACCTGCTTCTTTCTGTGATTGAGGTCGGCCAATTCAGACCTCTGCACAGCAGGTTCATCTGCCCATCTTGGGCAGCCCTTCTCCAATTTCCCCTCTGCTCTCATCCTCAAATGGTAGACCCAACCCTGAAATGAGTGGGTGTAGGGGTGAGTCAGCCTCATAGCAGGGCCTCTGGCTTCCTTTTCCTGCCATGGGGCAACACCTTCTTCCTCCCTGAGGCTGCCACAGCTTGGCTTGCCCCTCTGTCTTCCTGCCTAGACCTGCAGAGAAGCATCTGAGACCCCAGGGCTCAGAGAGAGGCAAAATTTAGCCAGTTCAGGGAAAGAGGCTTCCTGGGTACCTGAGGGTGCCTGCCCTCTGTCACCCTTACTGGATTGGGTCTCATCTTCCAACTTTCCATCCTTTAAACCCCCACCCCTTCCCAACCCTCCCCATCCTGTGACTGGTGGGTGAGAATGATTTCTTCTATAATCTTCTCAAGCAGTATTTACATTTCTTAAAGTGTCTTCTAAAAAAACAGTGTCTTCTGGAGATATAATGCCCAATGATGAACTTTCAGGGATTAATACAATTAGTTTTATTTGTGGCATCCTTGTAGGGGCCCTCTATATAACACCGTGAAAGCCAAGGTTTGCAGGGCCTACCTGTAAGCAGCTTCTGGCATCAGCACTTCCCCTGTTTCTATTCTTCATTTTGTTGCCCAATTGGAAAGGTCACCAGAGCCAAAATAATATTATTCCATATGCCTTATCCCTCCTCCCTAACACCACCCACCTCCAGAATCAGAATCAGACTCTTCATTTTCCTAGAACAAGTAATAGTTTAGTAGAAGAAAGATAAGCATGAGATGTGCCCATGAGATAGTTCACTAGAGCTGATCCACCACTGCTGATGCCCTGGCAAAGGCAACAGGAGCTAAAGGTTGAGACGTTATCTGACTGGGGGCTTTGATGTCCTCTGTAAACTGTTCCACTGTAGGACAACATTCTCTGCTATGGGGGGGGACATCTATAGGAACCCAGAGTGGGGTGAAGGGGGCTCTGATGGAAATATCTTTATGGGTTGCATTTGCTGGGATCTTAGAATGAGTTTTTCTCATGACAGTAATTAGATCTCTCCTACCTTTAAATTAGACAAACCTTGCAGAGTCCCAACCCCTGTGTCTTTTATTTACTTGAAGTCACTGTTAGAAGGAGCTGGGGAAGCTCTTTCATCAGCCCCTTGGGAGTTTGGGATGATCTGGCGTTTTCTGTTATCACTAAGTCAAGCCCAGTGTAGCTGGCGTTGGTTCTTAGAGAGGCTTCCAGTATTTTTATTTGCTCTGGATGTCCTGGGACTATTCCCAGAACTCAGTGGGTTTAGTTGTTAGATGTTTTATCAGTGGAATAAAAACCTCTAAATGTCTCCCCCTGAAAAGAATGAAATGTTAGTTACTAGAGAAAAGGACAGAACAATGTTATTTTGCCTCAAGCCCTCCCCATCTCAGTGTCTAATTATCATCTGTTCACTGGAGTAAATAAATCTCCTTCAATGGGTGAGCGTAATGAGGACTTTCATTTATAAGCAAGCAAGGGATGAATGTCTTTCCCAGGGGATCACTGAAACAAAGAAGAGGAGGATAAAGCCAGGTGGAAAATTAGCATTGATATGCGTGAGATGTGATAAGGTTAGGGAGAAAAAGCAAGCAAGGTGTTTAATGGTTTTTGTTGGACAGCAACTAGTTTGCTAAATTTTTATATACATACTTGATTTAAAATATATATCTTCAGAAAACAGTTGAGCTTTCCGTAAACCTCATCCCATCCCCCAATGCTGGGGCTCAATTTGTTAAGCGTTTGGATGCCAGCTCACCAGTTCACAAACGTGGTCCTTGCTGAAGTTATTTTCGGTAACCGTACATGAATATTCTGCTTCATTACTGGCGTCAGGTTGTGGGTGGCGCTTCGGAATGAGGCCAGCTGAATCATTTTGTCTTAAATGAATCCTGGTAGAAAATGAGACTCTCCTCCTCCAAGTTTTAATTAGTCAGTCTTTAAATCTCGGCTATTTATTCGGCTCTAGTAACTGGAAATCCTATTGAATCAGACCCAGTAGGCTTGAAACCCACCCCCCACCAGGAACTGCCTCATTAATGAGACTGGATCCACACTGCTCTCACACCAGATTCCAGAGTTGACAACATACACACACAGATGACAGAAGAAAATGTGCCCACCTTTAGCAACAGAACTTTGGTTAAAGCCACCGAAGTTACGAGAGCTCTCTTCTCCTTAAGGTTAGTGATCCCTATGAGTGAAATGTGGCACCTGGAGAGCAACCCCCAAAGAGAAGACTTCGCTAAGGGTAGCCTGCTGCCTCTGGCTTTAGATGACTATATAAGACAGCTGATCTTGCCAGCTGTGTAAGGCATTTCAGTGTGTGAGCTCTCTTGTACAGTTAGCATGAGTTGTTGGTGTGGTCGTATGCTGTGCAGCCAGCTTAGCCCTAAATGGTCGTGTGGCCTCCCTCCTTTCAAGCTCTTGATCCTTGATCCTTTGAAGCACTCCTTCCCTGTGGTTCTCACCCTTTCTTCTGGTGTTGGGCTTATGCCGAACTACCCTTCAGCTCCCCAGATCTCTGCAGAGATGAGATCATCCCAAGGATGGCCCTAGAGCCCACCTGTTTGTTCTGAGGTTAAATCTGCATCTGGGCAGGTGTCGACCGACTCATGCCAAGTCAGGAGTCCTCTAGGTGTTTCTCACCACACCTTCTCCATCAGCACATCCCAGGTCTGGCATCCCACAGCTGTGCTCTTTCTGCTTCGTTTCTATCCTCTCATCTTCCTACCCCTAGAACAGGTGAATTTTAGAAACCCCAGGAGGGACAAAAGAGAGCCCCTAAGCTCACCTCTTCATTTCCAGGTGAGCTGACTGGCTCTATTTTTAGGGACTCCTTCAAGGTCTCATAGCCAATTGGTTACAAAGGACCTTCCTATTGGCAGGCCCAGGACTGCAGAGCCCCCTGTGGTCAGCTACCCAAGCAGCTTGCCTGTTTGCATCAGCATGACATGAACATCTCCTCATTCTCAGTGTTTGCCATGGTGCGTGAAAGGTTGGGAAGCACAGGAGAATAGAGTGTGGGGCTCCCAGCTTCCCATAGAGCTCTCTGACTCGCATTCTCCCATGTGGGTCAATGCTTGCTGCTTCTCTTTCCTCACTAGATCCTCTTCAAAGTTTTTTGGGTTTTTGTTTTGTTTTGTTTTGTTTTGGTGAGGAAGATTGACCCTGAGCTAACACCTGTTGCCAATCTTCCTCTTTTTGCTTGAGGAAGAGTGGACCTGAGCTAACAACTGTGCCCACCCTCCTCTGTTTCGTATGTGGAGCGCCTCCACAGCATGGCTTGATGAGTAGTGTGTAGGTCCACACCCGGGATCCAAACCCATGAACCTAAGCCACAGAAGCAGAGTGCACTGAACTCAACCACTACGCCACTGGGCCGGCCCCTCAAAGTTGTTTTTTAAAAATCCCAGTTTCCTCCTGGCCAATGTCGTCCATACACTAGCCTTTCCCCCAGCGTGGGTCTCCTTACCTCCTCTTTGCAGAGTCCCCCACCCCTCAGTAGCATAATGGGCAGCCACTGCCTTACAACATATGAAAATGTTGTAGCCTTCACATGGTACCACGTGCATCTGGGGCCTTCCCTAAATCCATGGTCACTCTCATGAGGTGTGCATATCTGGGTCCTGAAGAGCTACAAGACTCTGAGTAAACTGTAGTAGGTCCTTTATCTTCTCTCACTGCTCGGCAGCCCTGGAGCTCGAGAGACTGAGCTAGCCTACTCCACAGATCCCCAAGAAGGAGTTCTCTGAGCTTGTCCAGTGCTTAGTTTTCCATTCATTTTATTCAACAAACACCTACTAAGTGCTACCGATGGGCAAGGCCCTTGGTGAGATCGGCCCACATTGATGAGATGTAGCAGCCATAGAGATCTATGTGGGGCAATTGAAGGAGGTGCTTCAATTTCTTTTATTCATTTGACAAATATTGATTAATCTCTGTTAAGCCCTTGTGCTAGGGGCTAAGGACGCAATGAGGATACGATGAATACAGTCTCTGCTTTCATGGATCTTATATTCTAGAAGGAAATACAGCTTAAAAACTGAATACACAAATAAATAATTACAGATATTAAAAATTTCTGTGAGGGTGATAAAGTACTGAAATGGGTGGAGAAGCTAGTTTAGATAAAGTGGTCAGGGAAGGCTTCATTGAGAGGGTCCTATTTAAGCTGAGACCAAAGGATGAGAAGGAGATCATCAGCTAAAGAATGAAGACAGAACATTCTAAACATAGGAAACAGCATGTGCAAAAGTCCTGAGGCAGGAAAGGTAAGTGTCACAGTGCGAAGAACCATTCCCATGGACACATTCTTTGCTCTCCTCCTTTCCATTTGGGCCACAGAAGGGAATGAACTTCCTTTCCTTTTATGAAAATAATGGTTTCGTTATTTCAGTATGTGACAGGTAATTTTGCACATTTCCCTCCTCCAGAAATGGTTCAAGCAGCGCCTGGCCCAGTGGCGGCGGTCGGAAGGCCTGCCCTCAGAATGCAGATCCGTTACAGACTAAGGAGACGGTGGGCATTGGCAGCTTCCCTTCATGAAGACCATCTGCTGTTTCTCTCCTCGGCTTGGCCAAGCTGTTTTGGTTTTTCAGTGTAGTGTTGTATGTGCCACTGTTAGCTGTCTTGCTATTTAACACAATGTTGTATTTTTTTTAATGTACATAACTAGAAAAGAAAATAACAAAAGGAAGCTATGTGCAGCTTCTGTGTAAAGCAGTGGCTTGGCTAGGAAAGTGGTGTGGCTTGCATTTCCCTTTGGGTCATGATGACAGTTGGTGTGAAAACCATCGAAGTTTGCTTTTGACCAACAACTCACAGTAACCATTGGCCTTCACCCTCCATTTCAGAGCAGGCAAGGCCGCTGTTGAAAAGATAACATGACCAAGAGGGAAAACATTTCCTTCTGAATCTACTCCCTTAAGTCGTTTTCCTTATGTTTCATTTAATACACTGAGGCTCAGTGAGAATACAGAGGGATATTGGAGTCATTCAGATTTCAGAAAGCGGTTCCTTGGGTTAAAGCTGCATTGACTTGGAAAGAACCCAGTTAGGCTGGAAGACAGAAACTCCAACTGGCAGAAAAGCAAGTAACTAAGAAAGAAATCCACAAAAGTCTTGAATTTACCTCATTTAAATGCATTTGTTAAATTTATTTTGCTAAACAAAATGAACTGCTTTTTTGTCTCTAAAATGATGTTCTAAATAAAACCTTAACTTTTTGTTGAAAATGCACTGAGTCCTCTGCAGATTTTTAACTAAATAATAAGCATATCAAAGAAAAACAGAGCAGCTTCAACATAGGAGTGGACAAAAGAGCTGTCATTTTCCACATCCTGGCTGCTCAAAGGCTGTCCAGGACGGGGCATCATCAGCTTTAGCTGCAAGCTTGTGAGAAATGCAGAATCTCAGACTCCAACCCAGACCTACTAAATCAGAATCTGCATTTTTAATAAGGTCCCCAAGGGGTACATGTGCGCGTGAAAGTTTGAGCAGCATTGTTCTAAAGGACTCTACAGCCAAATTGCATCCATTTTCTATCATGGCACATTAAATGTCTTAATAGTCTATCAATCAAGATTGTGTCTGATTGCTTGGAACAGTAACTTGATTACAATGGATTAACCAAATAGGCTTTTGGTTTGCTTAATTGATTAATTGTTTTTACATAAGGCATCAATAGGTAGGTGGCTCCTTAATGTTGTCAAGGACCTGCGGTCATTCTGTCTTCCTACTTTGCTATCTTTAGCATGTGGCTCTTGTGTTCATGGATACAAGGTGGATGCTTGGGCAATGAGTCTGCATTTCAAGCGAAAAAAGAAAAAGAAAAGAAAAAGGCAAATGCTGGCTAAGACTCTCCCTTTTAAAACAGATTTCCTGGGAGCTCCCCAACCCCACCCCTCACAACAACTTCAACCCACATCTCATTGGCCAGAATTGAGCCACATGGTCACTCCTAACTGCAAGGGAGTCTGGGAAGGTGAGCATCTTAAATTGGGCATATCGCTGCCTTGAGCAAAATTAGGGTTCTGTTGGTAAGAAAGAAAGGGGAGGATGAATGTTGGAAAGGCCACTAGCAGCATCTGCCAACCCAGCCTGAAATGATGCTGGTGTACACTTCTGAAATCTTACCAAAAATGCAGGCACAGTCTTTTCAGTTCTTTAAAATAAAGAGCCCAGAATAAGAAACACTAACAGTTACTCAGAATACAAATGTTTACAAGATCCCGTTAAACATCCTTGGCAAACTTCCTCTTCCTCTACCTTAAAACTTTTTTCTGTAAACAGTACACAGTGAACCAGAGTCCTGAACAGAACAGCCTCATCTGGCGTGCTCTCCAGCAGCCTAATTAGTGGGTCCGAGCATCAGTCAGCACCCAGAGCTGGATGCTGACATCACTTTCTGGAAAGAAGAAGGTGGGGATGAGGAGGAATGTGTGCGAATAATAAATACCTGCATAGAGAGAGGATTCTTGATCTTTCAAAGCACTGTCGTAGACACTGGCTAACAGATAGGGAGGGAAAAAAGTGCTGCTAACGTGGCTGTGGACACAGCAGACACAGAGCACCGTGATTTGTCCTTGTCAGGCAATGAGAGAGGTGCTAACCCAGGTCTAAGCCCCAGGTCAGAAGTCTTTCCAGCACACCAGAGACATGATTCAAGATTAATCCATCCAGGCCAAGAAGAGTTAACCAGCTGGGCAGAGAGCATGCCTTTAGCTGGAGGAAGAGAAGCACAGTGTATGGCAGAAGGATCACTTCCTGTGCTTATCAGGCCTGAGTCAAGAGTCCTGTTTGAATGGCAGGTGCTGGGAGGGAATGAGGATTCTTGTCCTTTTATTTATTTATTCACTGTTTTTTTTTTTTACAAGAGCCAAGTTTTTTATTTGTTCGTTTCTTGCATTTGATGTACCCCTTCACGACATCCTTGGTCTGAGAGTCTTTGCCATAGTCCTTAACTACCACATAACTGCAACCATCCACTTTCGGGAATTTTCCCTCTCTGTCAGTGCAGAGGCCTACCCGTGCCCCTGGTTTCTTGTTGTCATCACCTTGATTAGGTTGATTTGGTGTGAGCACAAAGGGCGTCCACCAACTTGACATATATAGCTATGCTCATCACAGTCGGATGCAAGCCCGCACGATGGCATTGGCGCCTGTCTCAGGCTTCAGCTGCTTCGAGAATTCCAGGTGCTAGGCCATCGTGGGTGAGGCCAGCCCTCGGCATCTCTCGTGAGGCAGTACTAACGATGGTAGCATCTCCCCCTGCAGTGACTTCCTTGGCCCTGGCAGCGGGGTCCAGGTGCAGCCTCTGCCTCTGCGGGGCCCAGCAGCGGCAGGCAAGAAGGTGGTGCCCCTTTAAATGTGAAATTGTTTCCATTAACCTTCTTGAGTTTACTTTTCAACCGTAATACAAGGATAGCAATACTCTACTCAAAAAGAAAAAAGCACTTTGTCAAAAGTAATCATAATTACTATTGCTACAAAGTACTACTGAGGACAGGGTGAGGTTCATTTTGATGCCTGAGACAAATCTTAATGAGAACGCAGAGCTCTAAGTTTTATTATCAGGAGAATATTCCGGACGCCCAGGGTCATACACCAAAGTGATAATACCCACCCCAGACTGAGAACAACTGCACCATCCCCTCTTTCTTCGCCTTGTGTCCTAGTTTTGCTGTCGCAGACACTGTTGGTCGCTTAGACTGATAATTATTCCAACCCCCTTCTCTGTTGCCACCTTCTCTACCAAAGCCTTAGAGGCTGGAAAACTGAAATACTCCCTTTTCCATCCTCCCTTGGAGCTGTGTTGGTCATGTGACACAGTCTGGCCAATGAGGCTTAGGTTGAGGACTGGGTGGAGGGGACTTTTGGGAAGAGTTATGTGTTTTTTGCTGACAGGTACAGTGGCAGCAAAGGCCCTGTCCTTTTATCTTGCTTTGTACCAGTTTCATTTGTTAATTGTAGAAATAGAGATAAGCAAAAAAGTGAAACATACTATAAAACCAAGAAAACCTATAAAAATTAACCATAATCTCAGCACCCAGAGGGAACCTTAATGTTAACTGTGACACGATGGCATACCGTATTGGGGGGAGGCATGTTTTCGATGCATAAACACTCATGGGGCAGGGAGAAGAATCCACTTTAGAAGGTAGCTGCAGTTTGAATCATTGCTCTGAGAGGGTGGGTAAAGGAAAAGTCCTCTTTGTTTTTCTCTACTCTACTACAACACTCTACTCACAAAATATTTCACTTCTGACACCAGATATGTTGGGGGGGGGGGTTCCCACACCAAGCCACTCTGTGACATCAGCTGAGTGTCCCACAATTCAATTCAGTTCTGACACTATCTACCTGGAGTCAGCATCGGATCCCACAGGTTAAAAGCTCAGTTCCACACGATTGTCCCCCACTTTCAGATGCCAATTGTGAGTCCAGCTTGTTACCTGTGCTTGTGACCCACCAGCTGGAAATCAGAGGTTCCCATTACCCCCTCCTCTGTTTCGACTGATTTGCTAGAATAGCTCACAGAACTCAGGAAAACAGTTTACTTACTAGACTACCAGTTTATTATAAAGGCTATAATTCAGGAATAGACAGGTGGAAGAGATGCACAGGGTAAGATATGGGGGAAGGAGTGTGGAGCTTCCATGCCCTCTCTGGGCATGCCTCCCTCCCAGCACCTCAGTGTGTTCGCCAACCCAGAAGCTCTCTGAGCCCTGCACTTAGGGTTTGTTACAGAGACTTCATTATGTAGGCACAATTGATTAAATCAATGGCCACTCACCATTAAACTCAATGTCCAGCCCCTCTCCCCTCCTTGGGAGGCAGGGGAAGGATGCCTGAGAGTTCCAACCCTCGAATCCCAAGGTTAGCTCCCTTGGCAACCAGCCCCCATCCCGTGGTTATCTAGGGACTTTCCAAAAATCACCGCATTAACCCAAACTCAGGTGTGGTTGAAAAGGACTTGTTATAAATAACCGGACGCTCCCTTCACCTCCATCATTCTGGAGCTATTTCAGGAACTGGAGCTCTTGGAGGACAAAAGAGCAGATATTATAACAAAAGATGCTCCCACTGCTCCTGTCACTTGGGAATTGACAAAGGTTTTAGGAGCTGCCTGTCAGGAGCAGGACAAAGACCAAATATATATTTCTTATTATAAATCACAATATCACAGAATGGAAGGATTCCTCCTAAGGCGAAAATTTGCTCTTTTGATTATGAAAACACCTTGATGAGTTTTTTTGGTGGTGAAACATGGGTCTAGAAGCAGAAAAAAAATGAAGAACTCAGTGGCCGTGCACAACAGGTAGAAGGATTTACGACTGCGTTCCGTGAAAGTCAGGTCGGAGGATGTTTGGGATCCTTGGGCGCTGAGAGGAGAGATGGAGGAGAATGATCTGGTAGGAGAAAGTAGGTTCCAGCAACATGTCACTAACCCAGAAGGCTGGCCGAGTTGGCTTAGGGACTTTAAAATGTCAAATGTTCTACTTTAAATTAACATCTGTGCAGAGCTGGACCGACTGTTGACAGGCCGACATTGCTCTGTTGTTCTCCACCTTCAGGAAAGCTCTATTACACAAAACGGCCCGGCACTAGTGATGCTTTGAGGGATGGGGAAGGAGCAGCTTGAGTCATGTTTGTGGCATGCCGTGGACTGCGGAAGTGATTGTTTCTGTCAGCTCTCTGCTTCTTGTAATGCGGTAACAGCACCTCTCTCCACTCGGGAACTCCTCCCACTTCATGTGGTCATGGTAGAGGGGTTAATCACAGTGCCTCAGATTCCCCACCCTACTCAGTTAGGTACATGACCCAGGCTGGCCAATCACTGTGCCGTATCCCTTTACACACTGGGCTCTTGACCTCAGCGGCCCAAAGTCCTTCATCAGAGTTTTCCCAGTTGCAACTGGAGGGGTAGCTCTCTATTATCCTCATTCCTGGAGAGCTGTGAGGATGGAGGCCTGGGGTTGCAGGCAGCCATCTACCCAGGCACATAAGAAGGCCACTGTAATGGGAGAGAATGAAGCCAGGCAGAGATGGGAGTAAGAGAGAGAGAGAGAGGCCAGGTCCTGAGGCTCTGGTTCTCACTCTTCCCTTGGGCTACCCCAACCCCCCCAGCTCTGTGAACTAGTGAATGCCCTTCTTGGTGTATATGTGTCATTTATGGCAAAAAGAGTCCTGACTAATAGCTGAGTGAAGAAAGGGAGAGAGGAGTGCATGGAAGGAGG